CGACGCATTTGTGGGAAATCCTCTCCTGAGACAGCTAGAGATGAATTTTCAGTCTGGTTTTAAGGAAAATACTTACCACAAAGCAGCAGAACTTATTTTTTCCATTGTTCCAGCTTTATGGGAGAGAAAGGAGGGAGATAGTCACTGTGGACAGCACTCATAGAGACTAATGTTTTCCAAGAATCCATGTCAGGCGCCAGTCCCCCACTGACTTTCAGTGGAAACGACCATTTTGGCTCTCCTTCACAAAAAAAAGCCCCCACCCGCAGCAAGCCAATGCACCTAACCCAGAATACCACCACAAAAAGCCCTTAGACTTCATGGGTATAAGTTCATGGGAAAGTGCCAGCTCAGGTAGGAGACACAATAACTCTCCACTCTAGGAAAGTTCAAAGAGGACACTCCACGAGCTGGTAGGAAACAGGGGCTCTGAATAAGTTTTCAGGAAAAGTACTCTGATACACTGAGCCAGCTTGTCACACATGCTACGACTACATCATATTTGGTCTCTGTAGAAACCTACAGCCATGAATTGTGAAATTATATATACATGCACGCAGAGCACCTTACATCTGCATCAATCCGCTGTTCTGTTACATAAGATGCGAGCTGTCAAAAGTACATGGAAATGTTTAACAGGGTACATCTCCGCTGCCTGGGAAAGGAAGAGAGATGAGAGAGGGATGAGAGACGCTTGACTTTCTACAAAAGATTATGAACAGAGTGCTGGGGGAAGAGAAAGAAGAAATCAAAGCATCTTTGTGTATTCCAGACTAAGAATAAAGGAAAGTACATCTACTTGCACTTTTGCAAACAAGATGGATCAGCTTATGGGAAGGTAGGAGGAAGAAAGTGTGAAGCTTTTCAAAATTTATTTACATCTAATGGCTCTCTGACAACTCTCAGGTACAACTGAAGAACAAGCACCTTCTTTTGACACCCAATCTGGAAGATATAACCTCAATGTGGGGTCTTTCTGAGCCAGCCCCAGGCTACCAGAGCCACGAGACAGCTCAGAGCCAACAGACTGTTACAGTTTAATTCTGCACTTTATTAGACGTATGGGTTTCTTTTGCAACCATATTTCAAGCTTGAGATTTCAGTCTTCCCCCAAGGTAGCAAATTCATAGAGATCGATGTTACAGCTCTGTATTTTGTAATCCAAACCACACTGCTTTCATTACATCAAGCTGCAGGGCTCAGGTGGTTCCCAAAATGCCTAAGAAAATGGGGAAGTCTCTTCTGGCATTTCTGGCAAGAGGCAGGTAAGTGTGGAGGCAACACATGAGTTCAGAAAAATCCAGTACACTCAGATCCCCCTGGAGTCAGGCAAACCCTGACAGTCTCCCAGGAAGCACTCTCAGTGCACCGACACAGTTCGCAGCGCTCACGCAAACGTTCGAAGACAGCACAGAGCAAGGCTCATGGTTTCTGCAGGGCTTCTCAAATGCCTCACATACAGCCTCTTCCATGCAACTTTTTAAGACCTAATGTAAGGCTTGGTGTCTTTGGAGGATCCTTCCACCCCAGCAGACACCCAATATATCACATGAAGGCACTTTCCTGGACAGTGACAGAAGAGGGAAGAAAAGCAGAAAAAGCCCTTTGCAGTATTCACATTAAACACACAAAAGAAAATTGTTTTCAGCCTCTCTGTCTCTGCCATCGTCCCTCTGTACATTAGAAAGCCTCCAATGCCGTGACACTGAGGAAAGCACTCGGTGCTGACTGTGCACTACCAGATCTAACAGCCCTCATGCTGGCATATAGTTACCTCCTCTTGACAAAGTTGGGTTATCAGTACTGCCATGAATTAACAGCAGTGATGCACTTAGAGGCCAGAGGTTGAGTGATGCTGGTTAGCAAGACAGAAGAGTGTGGATGGGGCAAAGCTCCACCACCCTCCTGTGGCCCAGACCTGATTAATTCCAGGAAAGGTAATGAAATCCAGACCCCATGGCTGCCTACCACCAGATCCTTTGGCTGCAGGCGTCCTCAAAATCTACATCAGTGCCTGCTGTGGTTAGGATTTTAGTGATGTAGACACTTGGCTCTGAAATAGAATTAAACCACTTTGACAGAAAAAAAAAAAAAAAAAGAGTATTTTTCTCTCAGAGTTTTTCCCCACCAAAGGCTGTATCATGACTGCTTGTGCTGTGGCTGGGCCCCACAGCCAGCACAGAGGCTGCTGCTCTCAGAGAGGGGCACATAGGCAAGTCAACAGGATTTTGGGATGCACACTTTGGTCACCACTTCAGATTATCATTGGAAAGGAGAGCAGCAGGAGACAGTGAGGGGCTGGCCAGGACTTTGGAGAGATTTGCAGGAGGAACAGCAGGTACAGGCCATGCATAGAGACAGCGGTAGCTCTTGTGCAAGACACAGAGCAAGAAGATGATGCTAGGGATGACGCCAAAGATGATGCTACAAGCCCTATCACAGCTATCCACCTAGCACATGCTGGGTAAACAGCCCTGTTGTGCTATGTTCTCACCTTCCAGGTAGGAATGGTTCGATGCTGTGATTGCTCCAGCAGCTCTGCGACTCCCAAAACCATCCCAAGAGGCAGAGGAGCAGCAGCACAGCTCACAGCACGGTGGTTGCACAGTACCAACCCACCATCCCAAGACTTCTCCCCTTCTCCATACACACATTTTACAGGAATAAAACTCATTTGAGAACTTCTCAGGCAAAGGTCAAACTCTGTTTGGTGCAGATTCTGCCCACGCTCGGCCAGCTTTGCTGCATATCTATCACAGTGACAGATGGCTATAGCTGAACAAGGCACAAAGAAGCTCCAGCAAACAAGCGCTGCATTCAGCTGAAAGGCTGCATCGGACCCCGGTGCTGACTATCCATGCTGACTAACTCTTTCATACTGCAACACACACGCCAACTGTGTTTGCCGAGATGCCTCTGTGCAAAGCCTCCGAGGGGAAGACAGGCCTCGGATCTTTTCCCTCTTTTTGGTTCTTTTGTTTGGGTTTTCTTTTCGGTTGTTTTTGGGGGGTTTTGGGTTTTTTTTGGGGGGGTGGTGGTTTTTTTTTTTTTTTAAAGTGATAAAAAATCAACTGAAAATAACTCCATGCCACACTGTAGCATGAGGCACCTTAAGAGATTCACAACTGGTAGCTAAATAGTCACTTCACTGGAGTCCTTCAAATTCATTTCTCAATCACAGCTAGGCACTAGGAGAAACAAGGGGGAAATACAGAAACAGGTCTGGGGAATAACCTCAAAATAAACAGCCAAACCTATAAACCTTATCCTAAGAATTTCCTTTCTCAATTTGCACTTCCCTTTAGCAAAGGGATATAAGGAGACTTCAGTATCTTTGATTTGGATACTAAATTAAGAAATTAGTCTTTCTAATATCAAAACTCACTCAAACACGGAAAAGTGCAATTCAAACGTTTATCTCTACATCTAGAGCCAAGTCCTCAGCCGAGGAAGAGCAGTGGCACTCCACTCCCTACACCAAAGGGTCTGGAACTCAGCCCACGATCTCATGCAGTGACTGGCCCCTCAAACAAGACCTTGCACATGCGCAAAAAACCCAGGTTAAAACTATGGCTTTTACAATACTGTTCAAGGAAACAATTTACAGAGTGGGAGAGATTATATCTACACTATCAGTCATTGAAAGAAGAGAAAGCTTAGCTGAAGAAGTCCATGAGCAAAGCAGAGCCCCCGATGTGTAATAACGGAGCAGAGCCAGGGTCGCTCAGCAGCAAGCAGGGTCTTTGCTTGGAAGTCCTGTGCAGAGGTTGTGCCTGAACCACCCTTTCAATGGAGGGTGTTCATGGGACAAGGACACATGCCCCAGCACAACAGAAACTTCACAGAGACGGGGAAATGGGGGTTTTTGTTTGTTTTGTTTAACACTTCTGCATTACTCTAACAAGAGATAGCATTGTCTGGTGACCCTCATTTTTGCAGTATCGTTATCACAGACTAATTTTGTCATAGCATGATAAAGCAAATTTTGTCCAATATTATCCCCTATACTAAAAATGTTGTCTGACAGGTACAAGGCTTTCCTGCTTCTGCCAAATGCTGTATGTTTTTGGGACTGAAACATATACCAAAGTAACCAGGCATGTGGGCAGTGGCCTGAATTATTATGAGACAAGATCTCAAGAAGCAACCAGTGACATTCTCAAATAGAAGTGTAATATACTGAATGTACAAGTGATGGACAGGATATACATCATCCTGATGCTTTTCCCCAGATCCAAGAGGAAAGCCTTTTTTTAACAAGGTGAAACAAAACACATTACGTACAAAACTTGCACCTTGAATATTTGCTAAATTCTATCTAATAAAAAAACAACCCAGCAGTCAAAGAAGCCAGAAAAATGAGTCCTAAGCAAAACACATCTCAAACACTTTTGAAGTGTTAATTATGCTGCATAATGGCAGTCTGTATAGCTTATGTATATGCTGGATATAGATCAACGGACAGTAAAGCATGTGTATGTATGTCTAGGTAAGTCGTTATTCAAATCCCAGTGCTTCAAATGATTCTGTTCAAAGGCACTAATTTGAGGTAATCAGCACAGGACAAATCACCTTAAGTGCCTGGTTCTTAATCTTGCATTATCACAGGCCAGAAGCAATGGCTATAGGACAGTGTTTAAGAAGGCCATGGGTGAGGTTCCCATCTGCCTAATTATTACCCGCTCTTCAAATATTAGTGTCTGTACAGGTACGCATATGCAAACAAGCAAGACAGGAGGCAGTACCTCTCTCTCAGTCCTAAACACCAGAGGATCCATCTGTCTCCCACCCACTCCACAACCTGCCTGGTTTGCGTGCTAGTTGGGAGAGGAAGGCCATTTACTCACCCCATTACACTTGTTTTGATCCATGCTCACGATCAATCTATGTACAAGGTGGGGAATTTCACATCCTACTGAACACTGGCACCACTAGGCCTTTGCCTTTAAGCCAGGTAATCACCTGGGTCAGCTCATGCCCCTGTCAAATCAAGACCTTACCTTCCTTTGAACCAGCGGTGACGGCAGCTGCAGTGGTCCCTGACGTCCGTCCCACTGGGCTGGAGTGCTTCCCAGCCCTGCCGGGGATTTTAAGTCCACTTGGCTTCAGCATGTTTGCTGTCTCCTGTATCTCAGGCTCGTATTGCCAGTGTCTCAAAGAGCTGTCCTGGTATCACCGTTCAGGCTTCTCAATGATGGACCTCTTCTTCCATTCTCACAGACCTGGGAGAGAAGAGCACAAAGAAATCAGATAGAGAATGGGTGGGAGAGCACCGAATAGGCTCCCAGAAAGCAGTGCTCAGCTCCCTCCTCACATCCCTAGGAGAATCAGGATCCTCGATTTCTTCTCCTCTAAAACAAGGGCGATCATTTCCTTCATCTCACATCTTAATGTTACATTCTTTTCCTCAATCTCACAGTCTCACTTTAAGCCTGGAGTCCTGGACCAAAGCTGAAACTTCCGAGAACCACCAAACAAGAGCTGAAGTTGTTTAGGATTTGAGTGACTGAAATTGTTGACTGGTTTTAAGTTCTAAAGTCTCAGTTCATGCATCAGCCAAGACCCAGTTCTGCTGTCAGAGCCCTTACCAAAGGCACACTAACGACCCTCAGCACTAGACCTGTGGTGCATGGCCCCCGTCTTCACAAGACTTCAGGGCAGCTTGTCCAAACTGAGAGGAGGAGGAAGGAAGAGGCCAGTTTCTGACATGGGGCTTTCAAGCTCCTTTCTTTAAGGACAAATCCAAAACCTCATTACAGAAGAAGGGCATCTGACCCCATGGATCTGCAGGAAGACTGAGAAAAAAAAAAAAAAAAAAAAAAGAAAGAAAACCCAAACCCACAAACTTTCTGAAACCTAAGCATGACTCTACCAACTACTCATTAGTGAAGTCACATAACCCTCCTCTACACCGTTCCCTTCCCGGTAGGCAAATGGAATAAAACCTCCAAATTCCTTGCAAGGATGTTGCATTAACAAGCACACAACTCCTGAAGCAGAAAGTTTTATGACAAGGAAAGAAAAAATAAAGGAAATGACTAAGTTGTTTAAACAAATGCAAAAACATTCCTAATGGATAAAGAAAAACAATCAAAAAAATTGAGACTATCAGCCAAAAGGAAGCTAAGGCTGGCTGACTGAGCAGGCTGGGATGCGGAGGGAAGAAGGTGGCAGCAGAGTGGGCAGGGGCAACGGCAACACAATGGCAAAGGAAATTGCAAGAAGAGCAAACCAAGGACCAGCCAGGAGCCGGGGGACACCCAGACCTGCTTCCTGGGCAAAGGAAGGAGGCAGCCTGCTGCAGGCAGCACTCTGGAGAATTAACGTAGCAAAGATTTACAGATGCTGCGAGAGGGGAATTGCAATAGCGGGGACGGGAAGTGATTAAAGCATGAGTAAGGATTTCAACACAGGCTGGGTCAGAGCGAGGGGAGGGCTGGCAGGGCTCCAGGGAAAGCTGCAAGCAGACACAGAAGAGGAAAAACCACAAGGAGAATTCCAAAACTGTATTCCTGAGGGCTCAAATATCTGAGACACCAAAGAGTGTTTCAGCAGTAAGAGTCAGTGATCCCACACCGGTTTAGAGAGACAAAGAAAGGAGGGATCAGCAGAGACAGCCTGGGGAAGGAGCCTGTGTGAAAAGCTAAGGGATCAAGCCCCATCTCTTCCCCACGTCCCCCACAAAGGGTGTTCAACGCCTGGGGTGGCTTCAGACACCTGCAGACAGCACCAACTGGGGTGTATTTAGCTTACACAGAAGTCAGGGCTGTTTAGGAGAAGCAGGATGCTCAGATCACATCCCCAGCAGCAGGAACAATGGACAAGAGCAAGCAGTTCTTGTTAAGGCAGAGAGAAAACAGCCTTCCTGCGACAGAGCCAGCGAGGACCAGATGCTATCACAAAGCTGGACAGGAGGCTGTAGTTTCCAGCACTATTTAGCATAAAACAGGGAGACAAGTAACAGAATCTGGAGGTGAGAAACAGCCTGGTTCTTCCTATCTGTCAAGCCATCAGACCTCTCCCTCCCACCCACTCCATCTCATATGACGCATTTTGCCCTGGGCTAGCTTTGATTTTACAGAGCAACTTGATTTCTAGCACTTCTGCTGGCAGGTGACATGCTCTACCAAGAGATCTCACCCCATCACCTTCAACCTGAAGTTTACTCTCTTCACAATGTGCCCTTACTCCTAGATTTACACACCTCATCACCCAGTCCTACCTTTTGGTTACAAGGTTTGATGCCGTACTTGCGATTAAGCAAGCTGGGGATGCTGGTTTTTCCAGATAAAACATGATGGCTGGTTGAATCCACAACCAGGACTGTGGATAGGGGAAGAATAAAAGGACACGGAGGAAGGATAAAACAGTAGTAGAGAAGAATTTAAGACAGAAAGTGCACCAGAAGAATAAAAATATTTTACAGTTTTTCAGGCCTGTCAGAGGGAGTCTCTGGGTCCCTAACTTTGCAGCCAGAACCACATAAACTTTAGGGAGACAGTGAATTTAGTCTGTTCCTCTATTTTGCTGCTCATCTATGAAGAGACAGGGAACTTCAGTTCATTCTCCTTCTACTACTCATTATCCCTGATGATCAGCTGGCTACACAAGTCACAGGATATTGTGATATTCTACTCCTTCTCAGGATGACTGGATTTTATTTTTACGTAGGGGGAGAGAAATAAGAGGAAGTGCATTCCCACTGCATAAAGATTTCTGCCAGAATCCTTTATGCAAACACATTTGCTTTCAACATACTAATGCTGAAAAACAAATGAACTCCACAGGCTGCTAATTAAGCTACCCTCGAAACAGATAGCTTGTTTTATCCTGAAACACAATCACCATGACTAGTTCATGGCCACACTCACTGGGGTCTCCTTGCCACACACCAGATTCAAAAACTTCTGACGTGCCGCCCTGCATCACAGCCAGATGCCCCCCGCCCAGCTCTGCTCGCCGCATGTCGGTTCACAGGGAAGTCCGATGGGGGCCAACTCGCATATCTAAAGTATCACTCTCATCTCCACGAGCTGCAGACTGACCAAAGCCAGGAAACAGGGACGACTGCCTTAGCGTATACCTGCACACTCATCATCACACAGGGAAATGAGGATGAACTTGAGTAGATTTTACTATAAATGCAGCTTGTCAGAAATCCTGTCGTGGTTTAGCCCCAGCCAGCAACTCAGCACCACGCAGCCGCTCGCTCACTCCCCTACCCCGATGGGATGGGGGAGAGAATCAGAGGAGTAAGAGTGAGAAACACTCCTGGGGTGAGATAAGAACAGTTTAATAATTGAAATAAAGTAAAATAGTAATGCTAATAGTAACAGTATAATAATGATAATAATAATAATGATACACGAAGCAAGTGATGCACAATGCAATTGCTCACCACCCGCCGACCGATACCCAGCCAGTTCCCGAGCAGCAATCACTGCTCCCCGGCCACCCCCCCCAGTTTATATACTGAGCATGACGTCATATGGTATGGAATAGCCCTTTGGTCAGTTTGGATCAACTCTTCTGGCTGTGCCCCCTCCCAGTTTCTTGTGCGCCTGGCAGAGCATGGGAAGCTGAAAAAGTCCTTGACTAGCATAAGCAGTACTCAGCAACAACTAAAAACATCAGCGTGTTATCAACATTCTTCTCCTACTAAATCCAAAACACAGCACTGTGCCTGCTGCTAGGAAGAAAATTAACTCTATCCCAGCCGAAACCAGGACAAATACATAGATAAAAATAAATGTCTGGGACATTTTTAAAGAAGTCTACGCCTGCTGCTAGGGACAGATACTCCTTCTCTGTCACTAGTTTTTCCGCCACTTCAACATAAAAATATATGAGCAGATTTTTAGGAAGCT